CCCCGCACTTGCCCAGCTTCCGTAGGGAGATCAGGTTGGCTTTCAGGTCGGGGACGAGCAACACGTCGCTCAGCACCACCGGCTTGCCGTCTGCTCCTTTGAATGCAGCACGCCCCGCTCCTGTCACCTTGAGAGCGTGGCCGGACGCCGACTTCACCTCGGCAATGGGTGCAGTTCCCACTTTGTCTAGGAGCTCGGCCCTTGGAGTCATGGTCGATGCCGCTCCTGTATCCAAGATCCACGTGTTGAGCGGGTGCAGCTCGTCTCCAGCATGGGCGATCACCGCATCCTCTTCCGGCTCTCCAACGTGGAAGAACTGTCCGGCTTCTCTCTCCTCGTGTTCAGCCGGTTCCTCATCGGCGACCGCTCCAGCGTCGCTCCCATCTTGTGACCTGTTGGAGGGGGTCCACCAAGAGGGTTTAGTTCTGCATTTAAACCATGGGTGACCCACCTTCTCACAGTACCAGCACTTGCCATCCATTCTCCCAGGTCCCCTTCCTCCCCCTCGGCCACCTCGGTCTCCGCCACGTCCTCCTCCTCTACCGCCTTGTTGATTGGAGTCCTCCTCATCCTTGGAGGCTCCTCTCCCTGCACCTTGCCATTTCTTGCCGCTACCCCTCCTTCCTCCTTGCATGGCATAGCTGCTGCTCCCCTCGTCACCTCCTCTCAGTTGACGCCTCCGGAAGTCCTCTTCAAGGATCTTGGTCCGGATCCACTCCAACGTCCACTGATCCTGGTTTTGGGGAAGGCTGAGGCCACTCGTGAAGATCATTCATGACTCCGGCAACAGCGACATCATCTTCACACACTTGGTTTGCTCGGGGTAGGTGATTCCGGCGATGGCGAGCTTGGCGTAGAGTTCCCTCATCTTGTCCAAGAATGGCTGGACGGGTTCTCCTTCACTGAGACGAAGGGTGGAGAGCTCCCTCTCCAACATGAGTATGGCAACAACTGAGGTGGGGGCATGGAGGTTCTTGAGTACGGCCCATGCCTTGGGCCCACACTCGTCCTCCGGGAGTAAGTGCATGATGTGTTGTCGTTGAGCAAGGTCCAGGCTTTGAGATAAGATATAGTACCCCGCGGATGAGCGCTCGTCCCAATCACCTTGAAGCTCCGGGGCACTAGGTCGTTTTTCACTACCGATCATAACCTTGAGGAGTCCTATCTGCCGAAAGTACAGCTGCATCTTCCAAGACCAGTCGTCATATCCTTCGCCACTAAATTTGTCGACGGAGAAGTTTTTCAGTACCTCCCTTAGTAGTGGGCCCTGGCTCGTCCGGGCTGTCCTAGGCGCGGAAACTCCAGATTCCTGGCTACCACTACTCGCGGGGGCTGAGTTCCCTTCTTCTCCAGGCGACCCCATCGTTGGATACGTCAAGAATGGCTAAGTACCAGCTCTGATACCACGTGTTAACAGCTATGGCCTATGCGGAAGTGTTTAAAACATCACAAAAACCCTATGCCAAGTTTGGACGAATTTTGATTTCGATTGTCTTCGCGTAAAAAAATCCGGAGCCAATTTGGACCGACGGTTGGAGTCATTTGATAGGAGCTCCGAGACACATCTCGCGACAAGGTTTGGCTCGGTTCAAGTTCCAATTTGGCACGCGAGCTTTTCCGGATGACATTCAGGCGCAATCCGTTTTGTTGCAAATTCGTGACCAAATTATTCAAAACTAAATTCTGTTTTTGTTCATTTTGGATATTGAGGATTTCAAAATTGCATTTATTATTGCGGTTTACAAGAACCATTATTCAGCATTCTAGCAACAAGCAGTCTTAGCACCAGGTCAAATAGCCTACGCACTGGCGGGCCTTGAAAGCGCCCGGTGGGCAAGGACGACAGCTCCAAGGTCGCCGTCGTCGATGAGGAACTTGTTCGGAAAGACGAACGCACCCATAGCCGGATCGTGGGGGATCCTCCGCTCCACGACAGCAAAATGGATCATCTATTTGACCTTTTCGCACCACTCCTGGTAGTCTGGCCTGTTCTGCTCCGGCTGGCTACTGATTCGCTTGCGACGCTTATCCTGCAGAAGGGGCCATTCGATCTGCAATGTGGTGTAGGGTTGGGTGGATGGTTTATGAGGAGGGTAGGTTACGGGTAAATGAGGCAACTGAAAGCGGTGATGCAGTCGTCACTATCTACGTAACTGCAAAGGCCTAATCGACCAGGGTTTTAGCTGAAGTACAGGCAAGGGGTTAAGGGGATGAGGCATGGGGGTACAAACACATATCTACATCCTTACCGAAAACAGGCCCCATGCCACCATGCGGCTCTTGAACTTGGTGAACACCGCCCCGCCCCTCTTGAAGGAGAGCTTGAACGCATAAGCGAACAAGGGGTTGCTGAAGGGTGTCCCGGCGGTAGCCTTGTCAAAGTGCCAGTTGAGGGCCCACTGTTCTGCTTTTTGGCAGGGAGGGTATGGGTTGGAAAGGGTTTTGTAGAGAATCAAATGGGGGGATGAGAGTCAGGGTGAGCCACATCGCACGGTGATATGTAGCTGCCAAGGGGCATATGGTAGGGCATATTGTGTTTTCGAGTTGCACTGCACATACCATCTCTGTACTCGGCTAGGAGTTGATCGTCGTCGAACCAGGTCGTTGGGTGTAGCTCAGTGGGCAGGCTATCCACGAGATGGCTGTAATCGGCAAGGCCCATGCCAGTGTATGCTGCTGGCCTGAGGGTGGAGTTGATAGTTGACCTTGTTGAGGACAGCTGGTGGTTGAAGACTCCCATGGTTGACTTGTCATTGTGCAACCACAGCAGCTTCATTGCCTCGAGCCCTTCTGCAGACAAGTGGACAGAGAACGCTTCGAACACTTCCTCTGGTGCAGGGTAGTACTGTATTTTCTCCGGCGGGTTCAGAAACATGAGCTGAGAGTACACTAAGTAGGCTTTGTTCTGCGCAGGGGTGTAAGGTATACAACACGACATGGAAGAGAGAAACCAGCAGTTATGAGGGTGGCCGCGTGACCATGGGATGGTGACTAGCAACACTGTTTGAACTTGCCACGTCACACCCTGCGCCATCCGACACGTCCACCAACAACCCGGCCCACTTGCCACGTCACACCCCCCTACCACAAGCCACGTCACCCCCCACCCACCTGACACGCCTCGCTTCGTCATGCGCAGTGGTCACGTGTACCATTTCTAACCGCCACGTCATCCCCAACCCTCACCTTCCGCCACGTCACACCCACCTGCATCCGCCACGTCATCCCCAACCCTCACCTTCCGCCACGTCACACCCTCCTTGTCCGCCACGTCCACCAACCAGCCCCACGTGCCACGTCACACCCTCCTGCATCCGCCACATCCACCAACAACCAGCCCCACGTGCCACGTCACACCCTCCCACCCCATGCCACGTCACCCCCCACCCACCTGACACGCGTCGCCTCGTCACGCGCCGCTCCCGTGTACCATTCCAAACCGCCACATCAGCCCCAACCCTCACATTCTGCCACGTCACACCCTTTTGCATCCGCCAACAACCCGCCCTACTTGCCACGTCACACCCCCCACCAAGAGCCACGTCACCCCCCACCCACCTGAAACGCCTCGCTTCGTCATGCGCCGCTCACGTGTACCCTTTTAGGGTGCCACGTCATCCCCAACCCTCACCTTCCGCCACGTCACACCCACCTGCATCTGTCACGTCATCCCCCACCCTCACCTTCCGCCACGTCACACCCTCCTGCATCCGCCACGTCCACCAACCAGCCCCACGTGCCACGTCACACCCTCCTTGTCCGCCACGTCCACCAACCAGCCCCACGTGCCACGTCACACCCTCCTGCATCCGCCACGTCCACCAACAACCAGCCCCACGTGCCACGTCACACCCTCCCACCCCATGCCACGTCACCCCCCACCCACCTGACACGCGTCGCCTCGTCACGCGCCGCTCCCGTGTACCATTCCAAACCGCCACGTCAGCCCCAACCCTCACATTCTGCCACGTCACACCCTTTTGCATCCGCCAACAACCCGCCCTACTTGCCACGTCACACCCCCCACCAAGAGCCACGTCACCCCCCACCCACCTGAAACGCCTCGCGCCGTCATGCGGCGCTCCCTTGCACCCTTTCACACCGCCACGTCATATCCCAACCCTCACCTTTTGCCACGTCACACCCAACCCGCATCCGCCACGTCCACCAACAACCCGCGCCACTTGCCACGTCACACCCACCCACCCCATGCCACGTCACCCCCCACCCACCTGATACGCGTCGCCTCGTCACGCGCCGCTCCCGTGTTCCCTTCGAAACCGCCACGTCAGCCCCAACCCCGCCCTTGTTGCCACGTCAACCCCAACCCTCCCCATGTGGCCCGCCACATACCGGGAATGGGTTTGTCTCCTGCAACACTAGCACTCGTGCCTTGTCCACGGCGCTCATCGGCGGCGGGGTACCAGCCATAGGCAGGGCTACCGACCCGCCGGCATAGCTGGCAGGTACTCCACGACGCAGGCCGAGCTGTGCAAACATGGCGTACATCTCAGACCGCAGCGCCTGGAACTCCTCCCGTGTAACAAACTGCTCGTGCTCCACACTTTCACCTAGGGCACCCATGAGCGGAGGAAAAGGGTGTGAAGAATCCCCCCTCTGGCCAAGGGGATCAACGTCTTCTGCAGCAGTCCCGTGTGCCCTCACACTATCACGCTGGCGGGAAAAGGGGAGCTCAGGGAAGGGATTGGCATAACTGCCTGCCTGATGCCCGCGCGAAGGATCGGCGAGAGGGGAGACCGCAATGCCCCGGACAGGAGAAGCGTGGAGTTGCCGAAATTGGTACGAGGGTGAGGCGAGTGGGGACTGCGTGACGGGGGCGGGTGGAGGGGATTCGGATTCCTCTCCTCTTGGCGTGCCTGGTGCCGTCGCAGCGACTTTGCTCGGGCCGGCCCATGGCGTGTAGTACCTTGGTGCTCCGGAGGAGAGCGGTGTAACACTCGCTCTTCCGGCAGCCTTCGTTAGATGCATTCGTTGCACGCTTACGGGCGGCCCAATGCCTGTAACGCGAGGGGCTGAGATGTAGAGGGAGCCGGAAAAAAAAAATAGAGTCGATCGGTTTCAAGGCGGGGCCAGACATGCATGCATATTCAGAAAGGTTTGAATCTAGATCGGGTTCAGGGTTGTACTGGTTTGAGACAAGAGGGTTTACCTTGCTTGGCAGATTCGTCGACCTTCTCCTTCCCTGCATGGGAGAAACAATGTGAAAAAAGGGTGTTTTTTGGCACGGTTTAGCAGATGGTTCAACACGTCACGCCAGTTTTATTGGACACAATGCTCACCTTTCTGCTGTCCCTTCGGTTTTGGGGCAGCCTGCGCCTTCTCGTTGCCACCTTTCCGCGGGGTGCTTTGGCGGACGCTGCGACGTTTACCGGCAGGTTCTTTCTTGCTGGTACCCACTGGAACCCCTTTGGCGCGGCCACCCTTTCCTCCTCCATCCCCTTTTGCTCCCTGGCTCCCTTGCTTTTTACCAACCCCTTCACTTTCGACCTTCACCTTACGCGCCTTCGGTTTGCCCGATGCTTCGCCGCGCGCAGCGTCAACTGCCCCGCGTTTTCGGGAAGGGCGAGTCCGGCCCCCCTCCTTCCCTGTACCACTCACCCGTCTGCCACGCCCGCCCCGTCCCTTCACTGGCGCCACATCCTCCTCCTCCTCCTCCTCCTCCTCCTCCTCCTCCTCCTCCTCCTCCTCCTCCTCCTCCTCCTCCTCCGCTGCCTCCTCCTCCTCCTCCTCCTCCACATCCTCCTCCTCGTCGTCACCCTGCTCCTCCTCCTCCTCCTCCTCCTCCTCCTCCTCCTCTGCCTCCTCCTCCTCCTCCTCCTCCTCCTCCTCCTCCTCCTCCTCATCCTCCTCCGCTGCCTCCTCCTCCTCCTCCTCCACATCCTCCTCCTCGTCGTCACCCTGCTCCTCCTCCTCCTCCTCCTCCTCCTCCTCCTCATCCTCCTCCTCCTCCTCCTCCTCCTCCTCCTCCTCTTCGTCCTCCCCGCCATCATTCTCATCTTTTTCATCCTCCCCAACATCCGCGTCATCCTCCTCCGCTTCCTCTTCATCCTCCTCTCCCTCCGCATCCTCCTCCTCATCCTCCTCCTCCTCCGCATCACCCGGGTCTTCATCGCCCCGTTTCGGCTTTGTTCCCGTCGCTGCTTTCTTGCCTCTCCTTCCGCCGGATGCTTTTCTTGCTGCGGGTCGGCCCTTCTGGCGCAATGCTTGACCGCCCGCCTTGCCACTAGCTTCCTTGGCGCCTTGCGGTGTCCCAACTGCCGCGCCTCCGGCGTCGTCAGCACTACCTGTCGTCTGCCGCCTCTTCGCCCGCGTAATGAGGTCCCCGAGCACGGCGGTGTCATAATCGTCCTCCCCATCGCTCTTCCTCTGCCTACGCCTCCCCCGTCCACCAGAAGGTGGAGAGCCACCGACCAGCCCCACCGACTCGTGCTCCCCCACCTTGTCCTTATCCAGCACGGCTGCAGAAACTTCGACCACGGTCGGCTGGAGCAGCGTCAGATGGTGTTGCGTTGCCGCCGCCTCGGACTCCTTGGTTGCGGCATGCTCGGCGCGGGGATCGCCTCCGTGATTTCCCTCCGTCGCCGATCCCTCCATCTCCGCCGACGGGAGTGCAAGACTCGCGCTCCCTCGCCCCGGATCTTCGTTGCCGCCAGTGGTGCCGTCTTTACTCGGACCGGGCTCGGTTCCAGCAGAGGCAACATCCGCATCTTTGTTCACTGTAGAAACACGCTTGCGTGGCGTTGGTTTAGGCCCCTTGTCTTCCGCTTTCTTGCCGGCCTCCTGTTGACCGCGCGCGACCTTTTTTGCCGCCGCTTTTTTCTGCCCAATGCCACGAGCGACAGACGCATTATTTTTTTAGCGCCGCCACCACACTCCCTATCGATTTGTTTAGACGTCCTCCTTGTCGCGCGGCGGCCAGCCTGTTCCTCCTCCATTGCTTGGTTACGTGTTGCACGTGTCATGGTAATTGTAGGAGGAGCAAAGTTGCAAATCGCGCGGAAGGGTTGAGCCGGAGAGGCGTGTGTCAAGGCAACGAGCAGCGTCAAAGTGTTGGTCCAGGGAGTGACGGAAGCAGGTGGGTGGGACACGAGGGTGGTTGGGGTGGGTTGCGAGACTAGAGAGAGTAATGTAACCCTATCAGGCTATATTGGACGGTGTACGTGTAGCCACCCTAGCATAAACCCACCTACCGCTCGATCTCAGCCGCTCAATGGCTGAAGTACCTCTTGGCTGATGACTGTGTTGCGGGGGGAATCGTTTGAGATGCGTCGGCCAATCACGGTTGCCAACGCATAAATCACTAAATTTTATTCAAACATACAACAATGCATTTCATCAAACTCTAAGTTGCAAATGGTTTACCACGGGGTTGGGGTAAGTTAATTGGTGATTCTTACGTCAGACACACAACGACCGTCCAGAATTATTACTTGTGACAGATGTACTGTGCACTTTTAGGCTTTGCCACAATGGTTTAGGGCCAGCGGACGACATTCTAACAAGATTATCAATAGTAACAAAAGTGAATCCCTTGTGGTATGGTGTTGGATTGTCATCCATTCTTGCACAGACATTAAACAAGGTGCTTAGAAGGAGTGGTATGAAGCACAGGCCCAACGCACAAGCGTGGATGCGTTATCGACAGCCATGGTTAGACTGTGCAACGATGCAGCGTTCAGGCCTGCGGGTTGCGCGACATGGTGAATCCGTTGTGGTATGGTGTTGCATTGGCATCCATTCTTGCACAGACATTAAACAAGGTGCTTAGAAGGAGTTGTATAAAGCACAGGCCCAACGCACAAGCGTAGATGCGTTATCGACAGCCATGGTTAGACTGTGCGACGATGCAGCGTTCAGGCCTGCGGGTTGCGCGACATGGTGAATCCGTTGTGGTATGGTGTTGCATTGGCATCCATTCTTGCACAGACATTAAACAAGGTGCTTAGAAGGAGTTGTATGAAGCACAGGCCCAACACACAAGCGTAGATGCGTTATCGACAGCCATGGCTAGACTGTGCGACGATGCAGCGTTCAGGCCTGCGGGTTGCGCGACATGGTGAATCCGTTGTGGTATGGTGTTGCATTGGCATCCATTCTTGCACAGACATTAAACAAGGTGCTTAGAAGGAGTGGTATGAAGCACAGGCCCAACGCACAAGCATAGATGCGTTATCGACAGCCATGGTTAGACTGTGCGACGATGCAGCGTTCAGGCCTGCGGGTTGCGCGACATGGTGAATCCGTTGTGGTATGGTGTTGCATTGTCATCCAACATTGCATGGACATTGAAACCGTTGTATTATTGTACGACATTGTCATCCATTCTTGCATATTCATTCAGCACGGTGCGTAGAGGTACACTACACCTCGAGAGAAGACACGCTATAGGTATTCGCTCCACGCAACAATCATACGTTAGGGCATGGAGTTATTGGGTACTTCCCGTATCGTTATCAAGTAAGGGTTGTTCAACATCAGTCCTAAGGATATGAATGTTTACTAGTTATGAATGACTTGAGTGTCTTGTTAAGTTGTAATTGTACATTTGCATTTCCATGTTTGTTTGAAGCCTCTTGAGCTCACCTACGTGATTCTGATTTCCCCCCTATATCGATTCGCGACACAATCACAGATCCAAACGGATCTCTTCCCGCTCTTCCTCATCCCCCTCGACTCTCACGCACGGTTCCTAAACACAAGTTCTTGACTCAATAGGCACGTTCTTCTCACCGTGCTCGCGACGCACACACACGACCGTGAGACTTAAGATCCTCCGCATTCTCCTCTGCTCACGTCGTGGTCACTCTAAACGGGGGCGACACGCCTTGTAGGGAAGACGGCCCGTGAGGTGGGCGGTCTGTATCGTGCCTGGTAACGACCACGCGGCTCGACATCGTTAGCCAGTCATAAACATTAGCGCCAATGTCAAGTGCCAGTCGTGCAGTGATACAAGCCGCCCACCACAGTGCGCGCATTGGCGATGATCGTGTAGCTGTCACAGGCTTCTTGAACGGAGTACTTAATGCGTTCACAAGCTTCATCACGGCTAGTAGCTTCATAGGCGATTTCTCAACTCTACAACGGATCCGTAACACATGGGCTCTTTACCAGGCGTCGTCTGCGAGTTCTGCAACAGATGGTTCCCCAACGCCCAAGTTTATGGCGGTCATAAGTCACGGCGGACCCCTTGCCAAGGACTATCCGCCGTGGCAAGGCCGACGCGATCTGCACCGACCGCCGGTCTTCACGCTCTGCTATTCGTCCACGACATTCTGTCGAACGCTCCAGCCGCTCCCGGTTCACCTACAGCGTCTAACGCATCCAACGCCGTCAGTGTGAGCGGTCCTCCACGCGTGCCTGAAGCTCACGTTGACGAAACTCCCAACGACGTGAACGAGGGGCCTCCTGAAGATGAACATCAACCACAACCAGGAGCTCCTGCGGCTGACACGAGTGACCATCCTGAGAGCCGGCCCAAAGGGAGTCATGCCGCGCCGCCAACAATCATCTCCGGACAGAGCAATGCCACGCCCCTCAATCCGCTCGCGTTGAAGCTGCTGCATTTCGTTCGGCGCGTGAATGGCGGAATGGGAATGGCCGAGGTTGACATCAACGGCCTGCTTCAGCTAGTCGTAGAGCCCGGCCTTGCGCCTCTTGTGATCTCGGAGCTCCGGAACTGTAAGGATCTGGAGCGGTTCGAGATGGAGCGTTTGGCAGGGCTCAATCGCGGATGGTCGGTGGCGACCTTCGAGATTGACGGTCATCCACCACAGCGCTTGCTCTTTCAGAACTCAGCCCAGGTAAGCCGACTTTGCATTCAAGGCCGTGGAATGATGATGAGGCACACAGGGTTTGCATGTACGTAGTTATCCTTGTATTAACCGTACACCCACCTTCACCGCCACTAACCATGCCTATCCTCTCACCTGCCTTCGCCACCGTACACCAGGCATTCGCTGAAATGTTTGGAGATCCCAACAACGCGCCCGGCTTCAAGCTCAAGGTGCGTGTTGATGAGGACCCTGACGCAGGCGGCCGTCGCTATACCACGCCTGAAACAGGAACGTGGTGGAACGATGCTCAGGTAAGGAAAGACCACGTTGCCACCCCAAACCCAATCCTTCCTCATGCCTCCATCGCTGCACTGATCTGTCAAGAGCATCTTGAGCCCTAAACCGTGTGTCCGTTGCCGCTTTGTCGTGCACTGCAGGAACACTTCGGTTGGTCCGAAGTTGTGGGGGGGATCATCTTATATTCGGATGTGACGCACATGAGCATCAACGGCCGGAAGAAGGCGTGGCCGCTCATGATAACGCTGGCCAACATCTCCCAGGCCAAGCGATGGGGGAAAGCCGGGCACACACTACTTGCCCTCCTTCCTATCCCCCCGTCTACAATGTCTGCCGTGGAGAAGGTGATGCTCTTCCAGCGTTGCGTCATCACCGTGCTGCAGCCGCTTCTTGATGGCATCGCCAGGTCCGTACTCGGTTTGCATCTTGCTAAGACATCATCTCACCACCTGCATGGTATGCAAACCCTCTCTGTATGTAGCATGGCCCTTTGCCCCTCGTCGTTCCTCCCTAAAAGCCGTAACCCGAATTCCTGTTGCCCCTCTACCTGTTCCTTGCAGCGGGTTCCGTCTCAGGGACCCTTTCGGTGATTGGCAAACCGTGCGGCCCCTGCTGTACGCCTGGGTGTGCGACTACCCCGAGAGCGGCAAGATCAGTTGCACACTCTCGCATGGATCGCGGATGCCGTGCAGCATCTGCTATGCTGCAAATGTGAGGTCACATGCCATCTGCACGCATTCAAATACATTCTCGTTTGTGGGTCGCCTGATAGAACCCACATAGCTACCACCCTTACCTTTTCTATCCCATCCCTCACCCCCGTGCTACAACAAGAGCATCTGAGTGCTGTCAAGGCACGGAACACGCCGTGCACGCCTGAACAGCAGCAATGGATCGTTAACGAGGCGGCTGGGACGACAACTAGCCAGGCTGACCCGTGCAAGGCCTACTCTACCTACCCTGTTGAGGTGAGTGACCTATTTCCCCGGCCCATGAGTAGTCTATGCTCTCGCCCGCCCCATCATGAATTGCCAGATGTGCTCTGCCCCATTGAACTCACCCCACTTGTGGTTTAGGTTAGCTATCCACTCTCACGTACATCTCTCCTCCATTCCCCACCACATCCCCATTTCCAGTGCGTGCTCTGGAAGTGGGATGTCCCAGGGACCGCGTGGGGCAATCCCTACCTCGTGGTGATGCCTGACATCATGCACCAGGCGGACCTGGGCATCATGAGCCACATTGTGGCTGTCGTGCGCAAGATGAAGAAGCGGCGTGTGAAGCAGATGGACAGGTCAGTGTTTTGGGGATTGGATTCGTTGCTCTTCGTCACATTTACTCAAACCATAAGTTCTGTCCTATTACTGACATGTTTCTGCCCTTTTGCCACCGCTGTCTGATGTGTATGGGCAGGCGCCTGTCTCTCATTCGCGACCGCACGCGCCTGAATCACATGCGCCTGCCGGAGAGCGCCTACTTCGAGACGGAGCATGTGTGGCGGCCTATGAGCACAGGGCCGTCATC